TAATAAAACGAAGTTGACGCTGCATTTTAACGCTGACTCATCACATTATTTACCCATTTGTAACTGCGATGAAATACGCGAACTGCTGGGGGCAGAATCGCTTCGATCGCTTTGTTTACTAAAGAAGAAGAGGTGACGGCCTGAAAACCACAGAAATACCTGCGGGCAAATCAAACAGCGATATTAATGGAGGAACAGAAAGACGGGTTGCTTCAGAGAGGAAAAACAAGGCAAGAAAACAAAGTGTGTGTATGAAGCGGGAGCTACCAGTTATGCTAACTTGTAGCTAAAGCATTCAGTGACATCATTTACTGAATTATAGTAATAATCCATCCTGTCTCGTCTCCTGATGGTTTTTTGATGACGTAAAAGTCTTATTTGAACTTTTGAACTGCCAGATCCAGCAAGATTTCAATTAGGACGGATTTATTTATTTATTTATTTATTTATTTATTTTACTTTTTTGCACTTGAATGTCATTTTAACCAAAGTTATTCTTGAACTTATTTTTGGCTCACAAAGCTACATCTGCACCCTGCAGGGCATGTTAACAGCCCCTCATGCTGGGGAAGAGGCAGTTGTTTTGAGTTATTTGCACATTATATGTTTGTTTACAAGACTACGGTACTTGCAGTTTAATATGTATTATATCATTMATTTTTATTATGTTTACATGTTAAAATACATCTGAGTACATCTACTAAGTTTCAGGTTCAAATTCATATGTTTCACGGGTCATAATTTGAATTTGCTGTGGGAACTTGTGTTAAGATGTGCAGGTGACATGAGATGTGCACTGGAGCTGGAACAGGAGGTGCACCCACAGGAAGCATAGATCAGCGTTGTGACAGAAACAATCATTGACTTATTGACTAAATGAACAAATAATCTCAGATTAGTCAACTATCAAAATAGTCATCAGTTGCAGCTCTAAAATATTCAGTGCAATAAGTGAGAAAAACTTTGTTGGATTATTTATTTATCGTCACAATGCTTCTTGGTAATAAATCTTACATGAGGCACCTGATTGGCAGCACCTGGGGGGAACCTGAAGCTCAAAACAAGCGTCAATAATAAAATAAGCTGTTTGGCAGAGAAGATTTGGCAAATGTTTCATGTGCGCAACCCACATACTCAGCTCTACTGCTCATCCCACAAATCCATGTTCCTTACAAATGTGACACTATTTAAAAAGGAAATTAACGGACTTTCCAGCAGTATAAATGTATTGTCAAGAAGCATTGTTACAACAAAGAAATTATCTACCAAACACTAATTAATTTACTTATGTGCTGAGTTTATACTGTTTGTACCTTTCTGTTTGCTAATTTAACCAGCCTTGATTTCCACAGCATTTCATTGATTTACTTGTGGCATTTGAAATTTGACAACCAACCCTTAAGGCCACTCATCAACCAATGCACTGCAGCTGTAATTCTGCAGGAGTAAAAGTTTGTTTTAATAATCCAGGGAAAATAGATTAACGTAAAGAAGTGAGCACAACTAAATACAACACAGCAACACAACTAATTAAGCCAAATAAAAACCTGACAACTCTAAATTTAAAGGGGAAATATTATGCGTTTCTCAGGCATACATTTTAATACTATACCATAACAAAGTATCTATGTCACCTTTAGTTGTTATTAAAATGCTGTTTTTATGTTTAAATAGAAAATAAACTTATCTTCTCATCACTTCCTCTTCTAAACGCCTTGAAATTGGCCTCTGTCTCTTTAAGAACCTCCTTCTGCTTCTATCCCGTCCTATTTTGTGTGTGTGTGTGTGTGTGTGT